GTCTAAACTCTATACTAGTTATTTATATCTATATAGAGATATATAAAATATCTATTCTTGAGTAGAGATCCAAGTTCAAAATTTTTCTTGTGGTTCTATCAGATTTTTGATGCAATATCTTGCAACATATTCTCATGCTTATACTTGTCCTGAACAAAGTTGAGCGACTGCTACCATTTTTTAGCTTCTGGCAGTCTCAGTATAAATATTGCAACCTCTTGAGATAACTGATTAGATTTTTTTTCTCAAAGTAGACATGTACTTTTGTATATAACTTTTCTTTTTCAGCAGCAATTGTTGTTGTCGATCTTTTAATGGAAGTACGCCATATTTTTCACTTTTTGTCAAAATTTTGTAAAGAATAGCAAGTGGGGTCTTGGAAGAGGGTTTTGGTTTGTGGGTAGCCTTAAACTTCAATAAGAAGTGTATTGAAAACTTGCTTGTTGTTCTCCTTTAGGCCAACTATAATTAACTTCATCAGCAGAAGCTATGCTTCTATTAAAATTTTTTGTCTAAGAGCATCACCTCTTGCTAGTTATCTTGTACAAGAATGCTTTTAACTTGCTTGCTGAATATACAGAAAAATCTAGAAGAAAATGATGATTAAAACCTTGATCTCTGTAAAAACTGTTACTTATAGTTGTCTCTTCTATTTTCTCCAACAAGTTTTCCATTTTCATTAGTCGAATGTTTGGTACGAGTAATTGTCAGGGAAAGTTGTGAGTAACTAAGGTTTTGAAAACCACCCTAACTCAAAAGTATTTAATATTTTATCCTCAAATCTTAAATTAGTCTACAGAAAAACTTATTGTTTATTGCTATAATTTTTTCTATTATAAGTTTGTATTTGTGTTTGTATATAGTGATTGTTCATATCTATTGTTTATATATTGTTTTTAGTAATAAGTGTCAGTATATAGTTCTACTTTATATACCTATAATAAACTTTTATATGATTTTATTATATCAGTTCTATTATCGCATCAGATATACATACTTTATTTAGAATTTTTAAGCAGTTCTTTCTAATTAGTATCCTATAGTTTGTTTATATATATCAGGTCCAAATCTGGTACTTTTAATTATTATTAGTATAACTGTAAATTATCTAATTAAGTTAATATACCAAAGGTATAAGATTTTTAAAATTCAATATTTATCACTAAGTAGGAATTAAACTCTTGATCTGCTGCTTGAAGGTGACAACTTGCTTATTGCTCTAAGTCACTACAACCTTTTTTATAAAAAAAAATTTTAAGTTATTTATAAAATAAAAATATACCAATTTAAAAAAAATTTTAATTTAAAAATTATTTACTTATTCTTGACAAATTTTTTTAAATATTAATTTTAAAAATATAATTCTTAATACAAAATTATAGTTTATATAAAAGATAGCAATTTTTATTATTACAATTTTTGCAACTTACTTATAAAAGTTTAAAAAAAATTATAATAAAGTTTATAAAATATGTTTTCAAGAATATATTTTATAATAAATACAATATATAATCTCATATCATTAATGGCTGATACTGAATTTAATTAATCTGATTGGTTAGGGTTAGGGTGATCTGCAAAATTTAGCCAATAGGATTTTTTAGATTCAACATCAGCCAAAAGTTAATATCAACCATGACAATTATTATTTTATTTAAAAAATACTAAATATAATTTAATTTTTCAGGCAAATTTGTCTGGAATATGGTTTAAGGGATAAAATTGATTGTCGGGCGTTACTTTCGAAGGCAACTGTACGAGAGAAACAAATGACGCCCCTAGCTCTCCCACAAAAAATTATTCATCTCCTGTAATTTTGACGAATCGAATTTCAGGATCAGGTGTAACATAAAAATCGAAACGAAACCATTTTTTTTTTACAAAAAAACAATATTTCTAAATTTTAATTAGAAAACCACCTTCTGCGGCCTAATTAAAATGTTCCTCATGATGTTTTGCTAATAGGCGTTATATTGCTCCAATCCTAACTCTGATAACACGGTTTTCTTGGTTTTCATTTTACGCGTAACTTTTTTACTTAGAAAACAAAACAAGTTTGTTTTGACACCTGATCTTAAATTTTGATTGGTCAAAATTACTGGGGATGAACAATTTTTTATGGGAACGCTACCTAAAATGAAACGAATACATATCAATATTTCAATCCAAATGCGGCTTCGATCACATGATTATCCCGTGTTATGATTGGCTTGTTGCATAGCAATAGTACATTGTTACCGTAAATATACATACTAGCATTCTAGCTTTATCATTATTTCCTTGACGGAAACATAATCTAATCTGGACATTTAGTTCAATAACTAATAACACAAATGACAAAAGTTGAAATATTTACGTACTTAGTATTTGAATTATTATCGTTATGACATTCATTTTCAATCTGACACAACGATAAATGATACGTAAACTTATTTAACGCCTTGAATTTGACGCAAGACATATATATTAAATATTCATAAATAAATCTGTTTAAAAAAATGAATAAACATTCTATATACAACCTTTGTCTATTTCAATTATTTAAGATTTCAAAATTACTATAAATGTATATTTTTTGTTAATCTCAAAAATAATATTAATGTGTTCAATTTTTAACAAAAAATTAAATATATATTTTTTTCTTAAAATTCTAAATATATTGCTTCTAAAATAATTCCAAAAATTAAAATAGCCCATCCCAACCAATTACAAAATTTGATGTTACAAATTGAAGATGATGTATGAACTTTTTGACTTCCGGAAATTGAATCAACACGGGTTTCATTCCAACCTGGTGGAGGCTCTATCAAAGATATAGAAATTGGACCATATGTACCTCCTAACGGTGGTGTGGCACCAAAAATTCCAGATTTTGAAATTGTTTCTACACGAATATAAAAGCCTGATGCATTTGTAATTCGCGATTCATTGTTTAGGTATGGCACAGTCCTTTTTTGAAAAAAAATAACATTTACGAGATTAAATTATCTGGAAATTAGCTTTCTTTGTAAAAAAAAAAAATAATAATAATAATTACTCACCAATCATAATTATTTGTAGTATTTGTTAGATTAGTGGCGATAGGATATGGTCCCCAGTCGTATATGATCTATAAATAAAAAAAAAGAAATCTATTAAATATCAATAGGATTTTTAAAATCTTTCCTGTTGACTGAAAATTGGTTACCTTGCCATTAGGAGAATAATCTCTTTTTTTTGCCTTTTCATCCGGTACTGCTTGTAAGTTGTTATATAAGAAAACATGAAACATACCAACAACTCTTGCGCTCATTTGGCAAGGTGACTGATTCCATGATATACGATGTTTACTCTCTGGTTCTATGATAGTGTTGTTAGGGGGTCCACTGCGATTGTGTTCAAGTTAGCACGGCTCAACTGATTTCAGAAATATATATATATATAATATAATAAAATTTGAATTTATATCTACCTGACCAAAATACATGCCTTTTCCTTTTCTTGCCAAGGTATTTTGCGAATATCCGGTGCTGCTTTGGCTATATAGAATAGATTTGTGCCATATGTTAATGATATTATAAACCAAAATTCGTGTTAGCTTATAACATTAACTGCATATTAGTTTACATTTTGATGAAGCGGCATTTGGACTTCCAAATGATGGTACATCTTTTCCACTGCCTGCCGGTGAAAAATTAGAAATAGGAACCTTGCCTTGACTTGATGATGGAACCGCGTTTCCTGGAACTGGGTTTCCCGGAACAGCATTTCCTGAAGGACTTTTTGACGCATTACTGTTTGGTGGTTGTTTATTCTGACCACCTAATAAACTTGAGGGATCAAAACCTTGATTACCACCACCACCATTACCTAAAAGACTTGATGGATCGAAGCCTTGATTAGATATTTTATATATCTCTATATAGATATAAATAACTAGTATAGAGTTTAGACTAGTTTATTTAGTAGTACTATAT